GGACCGCTAGTAGGCGCAGTAGAAAGTTTAGTATTTTAGACATTGATTCAGGTAAAAATCTCTCACTCTATTTTCTGTTATGAAATTGAAGCTTAATAATCAATAATATGATATTTTGTGAAATCTAGAAAAACTTTGAGAATAATTACAAGTCACTAATGGAGCCGGAACTGGTTAGTTATTTATTTATCATGTTTAACTGATTATTTGAATTTATAGCTTTAAAATACATGATAATATATTAGAATGGTTAAATGATTCAATTATATTTTCTTGATGCATATATCGCTTGTCTTGTGTGATTTACGGTTGATTTGTGAAATCTGAAATTAATATGCAAATGAGAAATTATTTGGTTATATGAATTAATGAATGGTTATTTTACTGAATATCCTGAGAGATGGTGGACGGATTGGAAACATAGGGAATCCTATCGTGAACTTTACCTCATACCGGACGAGGTATCGAGGAATGATATTTTTGGTACTCATACCGGACGAAGTATGGGGATGCCCCGATTCATTCTCATAGTGGACGGGGTATTCAGGGATGATATTTTTAGCACTCATATCGGACAGGGTATGAGGACAGCCGGTTAGTTGACAAGTTTAGATATAAAGTTCACGCGTAGTGGGACACCCGTATGGACCCCCAAGAATACTAGTAAGTAAAATAAAAAGAGAAAGTTGTTGTTTTCGTTCACTTAAATATAAAATCATAATGTTATTTGAGTTATTGTCTCTATAGGTCAGTTTTGAAAATCTCACAACGGTAAATATGCAATAAATGATTTTTCTTATGATAAATAAATTTACTTAAATTAAGAGCTCCATTGGTTATTTTTATAATTTTTACCAACTTTCGATTTATGTATCGATGAGTAGTGTGATATTCTTATTGGGATAGTATAGCTCATCTCCTCCCCTATTAATCATTTCAGATCAAGAAGACTAAGATCCAGATCCTGATCAGTAGGAGGGCTGTAAATAGGTATCCTTCGGGATCTTATCAAGAGCTAGTGGAGGTTAACCTCCCTACAATATTTATTTACTATTTTCATATGTTAATACGTTTTTTGTTTTATGAACCGATATGAAAGAGACATTTCTGTTATCCTATTGGGCATACTAATTTATATATAAGGAATATAAATCCTAACGTTATTATACGTTTTTGTATTTAATTTATGACCTTGTTTCCATTTAAGTTCTAGGTCTTTACAAGAGATCTTATAAGATAAGATGATATGATTAGTAGAGTTTTTATTCCTAACTTCTTGAATTATTTTAGACTTTGATTTTTGACATATGATCAGTTGTTTTGAATGTGAAAAACCTAATTCAACCCTCGCCCAAAGATCATATGTCTTTTAACTAGAGCCCTTAAGGAGATTTAATGACCAATGGCCCTTTTTAAGAACATTTTTTATCTTTATGACCTACACTTCCATAATGATAACATAATTTAGGGTGTTTTTCATATTTCAATTGGATCAAATGCTCATTATTCTGTGGTTTTCATATTTCATAGGGCCAATGCCTATTAAATGTTTCTTTCTACTAATAACCCAACATAATCAATTCAATATCCTCCTTCCCAGAGAGATCAATTTGTATGAGCTTCTATATGGTATTAACAATTAATTTTGCAATAAAGGTGTTGATTATGCCAAAAGGTAGGCCATATGACCCATGTCGAGAAGACTTTGAAATTGAATTCTCTTATAAATAATTATGAATTACATTCTTTAAGGATCAAAAGATGACCCTTTATATTCCATGTGCTTTGCCTAAGAATCTTGTTCTTATTAGCCTCATGTTGGAAATAATAAAATACCATATTTTTCTCCAAAGGCTTAAAAAATATTACGTGGCTAATTGACCATATTATAGACACACTTGCTGTATTACTTAAAAAAAATTAGTTTAAGAGAAAAAATCTTATTGTCAAGGATGAGTTCCCAACCTTTTTGAGTGTTTTGATTGTCAATTAATAGAATTAAATACATTGCTATTAATAACATGTATCGATGTTTTAGGTAGATCAAGATTTTCAAATGTCACTCCTTTTTATCGTTGCATCTTTTGATTTTCCTCAAACATTATGAGTATATACATGAAAAAATCATATTTGAAATACGGGGAGGGAGAAGGTAGAAGACATTAAATATCATTGAGCAAAAGATTAATATTGTTGATGATTTAAAATGAAGGAAGAATTGCAACTGGTTGGTTTTTCATACACCAAGTTAGAGAGAACACCTCATGCAATATGAGAGAAAGAAAGAAAAGGCAATCGTATATTGAAGAATTGATTTCTAACTTTTTTACCTCCTCTAAATTTACTATGAATAGAGCTTAAACTTAAACATATCTTTTTCCCAAAGATGAACAAATAGATTCCACCAAGAAGAGGGTTGCATTTTTTTCTTTCTTGGCCTTTGAATCAAAATTGAAATAAAAAAAAATTAATTAATTAATTACCCATCGATTTTCATGGAAAGAGACCATATGACTTGACTGCCCTCTAAAAGGACAACGATAGCCTTCCCTTTATTCGCTTCCTTACGCTTTCATTAATTTTCAATTTGTGATTGATGGTTAACTTTCCTTTCAATTTAAATTCATGCCCCTATCTTCAAGACTTCCAGGCTTTTAATTCATACCTATACCTATACCTATACCTATACATACATATCCTATAAAAGTGTTTTGTTTTTGGGTAGAATATATATTATAAAACTATAAATGACATTGTACAAAATTAGTGGGCCTATTTAAGTCCACCCAACATTTTGCAAGATGAATCAAAGAGATGTGAATAGTTGAATCTAACAATGAATGGTTGTCTAAATAGAGGCTTCGGCCTGCAGGATTTAAAGCCCAAAACTATATCCATTTATTTCGCATCATTCAAGGTTTAAATGATTTTCTTATTATAAAAAATAATATAATCTTTATTAAGTGAGATAATCTTTTATAGAACAAAATATTACTTTTGACCCCTGGTTAAATGATTACGACATCATTAACATAATTTATGAAAAATATAAGAAATAAATAAACATTGTGACTAATGCAAGTCTTTTAAACAGTAGTGAGAAGACTAAAAACATGAATTCACGTTATTATTATTACTGTAAATCAATTTTACTGTAAATCAATACCTTAACATGTTATTATTATTATTATTATTTTAATAAACTCCTATAGCATAGAGTAAACGTTTATTCTACTTTATAATACAATATGCATGGAATTGACCATTGCAAATATATTTTCTCATAATTTTCCAAAAATTGCTAAACACCAAATATTCTATTGATACAAATGATTTGTTGAAAAAGATTCATACTCTATATATAAATCTTTAATAATTTCAAGTTATTTGATGTGGATATTCTACATTAAAAATAAATTCAAAATTAGTTATATATATATATACCACACATCTTCAAATTGTAACTAATAATATGAATTCAAATTTATTTTTGTTATTGTTTAAATTATTGTAATTAAATATTTCGCATATAGCATGTATGTTAATTTTTATAAATTTCAACATGTATTTCTCTTATATAAATAAATAAATAAAAGTTAGATAAATTAAATATTACTTGCTTATAATAAAACGTTATATAAATTAAATTAGAAAATAATGTAAATTAAAAGATTCACATGAATTAATAAATTAGCTTGGCAATGCATTGACCGGTTTCTTCCGTTTTACTCAGTATCTTGTCTTAACTAACCACTGTTTGTCTTCAACATTCATACCCAAAATTTTATCACAGAGGAAGGAGTAGCCAAAATTTTCGTATAAACCGAAACAATTCCCATTGTTTTAGATTTCCATTTCGCTCCTCGGATCTTCATCTACATTGATCTCGCCATAAAATTATCTCATTTCATCTGGTGCTTCAGATTCCTTCTTCACGCCCTGATAATTTCATCCTCGGTGCATGGAAGCTCCATTTTCTCGTCCCTAGGGCATAGCACGGTATAATCAGGATTCTAAATCTATGGCTTCGTGGCTCAAAGCCGCTGAAGGTGCGTCTGGATCTCGCTGTCCTCTTTTGTTTCAGACTTTATTATTTCATATATTTTTTTTATTGCCTTGTTGAAGGTATGATCCTTTGGTTGAGTAGTGTAAACTGAATTGTGTTTCTACAGATTGGTTTATAATTTATGTTGGTTTTCAAAATTTTCTAATTTGCTGAGTTTATCAGGCAATTTTTTTTTTTCTTTTTTGGAGAACGACTAAGCTGGCTAGTTTATTGATAGGTTCGAGGTTCTGATTTATGCCTCATCACATTGTAATTAAGACTATAATATGGTTGAACTCACTTAGTATAGTTTCTTCTTGAGATTACGTAGTTGGGTTTGTCTTAAGCTGCCATTAATACAAAGGTTAATTTCTGTTGTAAGGGGAAGTTTAGGTTATTTCCGGATCATGCAATTAGGGAATATCTCATGGCTGATGGTCAGCTCCTCGAAAATTAGCATCAATTTTTGGTTAATTAACATGAACACCTATGGCAGAATTACTACTTCATTATGTCTAATAAGATGAAGTGATGATTAACAACAGTGAACATGGTAGATGAATTAAAATTTTACGTTGCACTCTTGTTTCTTAATAGAAGTATTAGCGTAAGCATCATGCACCTTATATTTGTCAAGAGCCTTTGGCTAATACTGCATTTCCTTTCCACCGGGCGAGGTTCATGATTGGGGTTGGATTCTCCGAGACAAAAAAGAGGCACACCCTACCCCCTCCCCCTTCTCTTCCCCCTCCCCAAGAAAAAAGAAAAGAAATCATCTTATCTTTAATGTACTGATCTCTTATGGTGGTTTGTAATGGATAAGATGGTGGAGCATTGATTTTGGAAGATTAGAAGTTAATTTGCTAACTTATAGAATTGGGATAAACCTAGATATCACCCTTAGGATTTCTTGCATATTATACCTAATGAATTCTTAAACATCACAGTTGAAGGCTTAATTTAACCAGAACATTAGAAAAATTCTCAAAAAGACTTATGAATGACTGGACTTATCTTAAAAGTGGGATTACAAAATATTTGTAAAGCTTTAATTGGAATCACAGAATCAAGAAGCCTGGATGTTGTCAACAATGACAGCCTATTGCAAGACACAAATTGCACATATGTTAAATTTTTCTCTCTGCCCCACGAAGTTTTTCTTTTTGGCACAAATTATTGGAACAAAATATTGTAAAGTCTCTTTATTTTGACTTGGTATCATAAGTTCATTTGCTGTTATGTTCATCAGCCCTTTGTGGATCTACTTCCTTTAGAATGCTGATTACAAAACAAAGCATCTCTTTGTGCTTCTTCATTTGTGTCTTCTGTTTATTTTCATATTCTGCAAAAGTACCCTAAATCAAATTGTTCATTGCCTTGTTGAATTTTACATGCTTAATTTCTTTACTTGCTCATTGTGATTTATAAGAATATAGATTAGCATTATATTTCTAAATATCTATTTTATAATTCTAAAGTTATTACTTCTGTCAATCAGATTTATTGGAAGTTGTAGATCGAAGGGCAAAGTTGGTTGTTGGGGAATTATCAGATGAGCAATCTGATTCTCAGTTGCCAGGTACCAATCGTGTATATCTTAGGCACCTCTGACATGAATATCTTAGGATGTGCTTGGATATCTTTATAATCATTAAACAATAAACCTTTCATGCATAGTTTACAGGCTTTCATGCAGAGCAAAAAGATAAATGATTGCAAAACAGGAAGATATTATTTTGGAACAAATTTTCAATTAAAGAAGTTTTTTGTAATAATAATAGTTATTTTGTATTATTAAGTTATTTAGATTATTTAAGTTAGACATTGACATATTTTAGTTTCCTATTTACGTAGATCTTAAGAATTAGAGGATTAGAACCTTTTAGTTTTCATCTTTTATATTTTTTTTATTAATTGTAATTAATGCCTATATAAAGGTAAGTAGCTAAGGAAAAAAAAAAGATGATGAATTTAGATGTTCTTTGTTAGGTTTTATTCCTACCTGTCTCTATGTTTGTTCTTTTGATTATTGTTTTTTGTAACCTAACTTATTTAGTCTATTTCTTCACATATTTCTTCATCTTGATCTTTAACTTATCTTTTTTCTTTTGTTTCTCATTTAAATTTTCTCTATTTCTGAATTATTTGCTGGACAAGTTAGTTTCACCATTACTTGTCTTGCACCAGTTGGTATTAGAGCCCAACTTTTATCCTTACCTTATGTTATGTTTACACTCTATAGAAAAAATATCCAGATTTTCCCACATCCAGCCAAAAGACAACCTAAAAAA